CACCGTCTGCGCCTACGGATGCTATTTAGGACGAAAAATACGACTGGTGTTCCGATGAGAGTAGAACTTCCACAACAAGTACAGAGTCTCTATGACAAGTACAAGTACAGAGACACGGTTGATGTGAGGGAAAAACAATGGCGGAAGTTGATCTGTTTTAGGGTGATGAACCACGCCCCCTCTCCGTCGCGTCAGGCGCGAATACGCGACAGGCCTTTACGTGGATCGACGATAAATGCACTCCGCGAGTGCCGCAGCTTGTTGTCACTACATCAAATAACGTGTAAATACACAACAATCAGGAACTTACTTTAAGGTGCCTATCATTTATGTAGTCGTAAAATGTGGCTCATCGTATAAGCAACCTTCAGTGCGCGCAGGTGGTCCAGCCGACGGGGGGCACGGGTGGTCCACATGGAACGGTCATATTCAAGCGGTACTGCTGCCTGGAGGAACCCTGTGGTTGAAAGGTGTAATGGTCTAATCCAGCGATTCCCAACGTGTGGGCCGGAAGGTACTGCAGGTGGGCCGGGAGAGGTCATTTACAATAAATAAATAAAATGTTTTTAATTTTCACGTGTATCGCGAGGGGGCGTGGTTTATCACCCTGAAACAGATCAACTTCCGCCATTGTTTTTCCCTCACATCAACCGTGACTCTGTACTTGTACTTGTCATAGCGACTCTCTACTTGTACTTGTCATAGCGACCCTGTACTTGTCATAGCGACCCTGTACTTGTCATAGAGACTCTGTACTTGTACTTGTCATAGCGACTCTCTACTTGTACTTGTCATAGCGACTCTGTACTTGTACTTGTCATAGCGACCCTGTACTTGTCATAGCGACCCTGTACTTGTCATAGAGACTCTGTACTTGTACTTGTCATAGCGACTCTCTACTTGTACTTGTCATAGCGACTCTGTACTTGTACTTGTCATAGCGACTCTGTACTTGTCATAGCGACTCTGTACTTGTCATAGCAACTCTGTACTTGTACTTGTCATAGCGACTCTGTACTTGTCATAGCGACTCTGTACTTGTACTTGTCATAGCGACTCTGTACTTGTCATAGCAACTCTGTACTTGTACTTGTCATAGCGACTTTGTACTTGTCATAGCGACTCTGTACTTGTACTTGTCATAGCGACTCTGTACTTGTCATAGCGACTCTGTACTTGTACTTGTCATAGCGACTCTGTACTTGTACTTGTCATAGCGACTCTGTACTTGTACTTGTCATAGAGACTCTGTACTTGTCATAGCGACTCTGTACTTGTACTTGTCATAGCGACTGTGTACTTGTACTTGTCATAGCGACTCTGTACTTGTACTTGTCATAGAGACTCTGTACTTGTCATAGCGACTCTGTACTTGTACTTGTCATAGCGACTCTGTACTTGTACTTGTCATAGAGACTCTGTATTTGTACTTGTCATAGCAACTCTGTACTTGTACTTGTCATAGCGACTCTGTACTTGTCATAGCGACTCTGTACTTGTACTTGTCATAGCGACTCTGTACTTGTCATAGCGACTCTGTACTTGTCATAGCGACTCTGTACTTGTCATAGCGACTCTGTACTTGTACTTGTCATAGCGACTCTGTACTTGTCATAGCGACTCTGTACTTGTCATAGCGACTCTGTACTTGTACTTGTCATAGAGACTCTGTACATGTACTTGTCATAGAGACTCTGTACTTGTCATAGAAACTCTGTACTTGTACTTGTCATAGAAACTCTGTACTTGTACTTGTCATAGCGACTCTGTACTTGTCATAGCGACTCTGTACTTCTACCCGTCATAGCGACTCTGTACTTGTCATAGCGACTCTGTATTTGTCATAGCGACTCTGTACTTGTCATAGCGACTCTGTACTTGTCATAGCGACTCTGTACTTGTACTTGTCGTAGCGACTCTGTACTTGTACTTGTCGTAGCGACTCTGTACTTGTACTTGTCATAGCGACTTATACTGTACCTGTCATACGGATCTGACCTGGTACTGTCATATCGGCCCTGTTTTGTATTGTGATAGGACTTTGTACTTGTAGTTCTCGAACGGCTTTGTACTTGTCATAGGGACTCTGTACTTTTCATAGCGACTCTGTACTTGTACTTGTCATAGCGACTCTGTACTGGTCATAGCGACTCTGTACTCTTCATAGCGACTCTGTACTTGTACTTGTCATAGCGACTCTGTACTTGTCATAGCGACTCTGTACTTGTACTTGTCATAGAGACTCTGTACTTGTCATAGCGACTCTGTACTTGTACTTGTCATAGCGACTCTGTACTTGTTGTGGAAGTTCTACTCACGTCGGAACACCAAACCGTCGTATTTTTGGACTAAATAGCATCCGTAGGCGCAGACGGTGAATTTCACCGACTTCCACAGGAACTGCTTCTGGATGACTGCCGCTTCCAGCGGTACATGGCGCTAGCCGTTAGCTCGTCGGTTCGGATCAGCCACCGGACTTCACTGCCTTCACATCGTACTTCCATGCCGGGGGAACTGTCCCGTGGAGAGACATCAGGCACAACCAAACGAATCTTTTAAGAGCCACACACACGTTATCATTGAGCGAACATTCTTTATATTACTTAATATTTAGTATACCAGTGTGTCGTTTAACAATACAATTAGCCTACACTTTGTTGTACTATATCCATTGCAGTGATGGGATATTGTAAAAATGCACATATGTTTGTTAAAAGTGCGAGATCTTTCCCGGGCCGGTCGCAATAAATACACATTTTATTGTATTTATTGTATCGTAAAGCTCGGGATACTGGTGTCTGCAGGACGATGGGGAGCATCTCGCCGCTGCTAGGCTATCGCGCCGCAGCGTCACAGCGTTTTGGCGCCAAAGATGGAATATCTCAACTTTCGCGTTTGCCCCGAAAATCTGAATCGACTTCGCCGCAAACTCCACGTGAGAAACGCGCTGCTCGCAGATTTGCGTCGTCGCGTCTGTGACTTTGTATGTAATCCTGGCGACGCGTTCGGTGAAAACGTACCATCAACTTTTCAATCCAAGTCACGGCGATCCACCCGACGGGATTTCTTTTTCCCGTGGAAGGCATCGAGCAGCCTGCGTGGGTGGAAGACCTGCTCCCCCTGGTCCGACGCACAGTGCGACCCCCAGTGGACGTTTTAGGAATAGCAGCTACCTTTATGGAAATGCAATTTATGTCTTTCTGTAATTGTTCACACACCGTATGTTAAGTAATTATATAACGTTAGTTTACATCTAGGCATGCAGTAGCATAACCCTGTGTTAGTTAATGAGCTATTGATATCTTTACGTTAAATAAATCCCACAGGTAGAAGCATACCAGCTCAGTTAACCTTTAGTCAACATTAAATATATTTTCACGCCCAATTAGGCTAACAATTGAAAATTAGCGTTAGCTTCAGTTCACTCCAAAAATAACTTCCGAAATTAACAGTTTCAAAAACCTGAGGATTGTTGAAACCATTATGTTAACTTCGGTCTAACGGCCGTTGCAATAAGTTAATTTATTATTATTTTCAAAGACAAAGTGAACTAAATGTAGCTTTTCTCTCTCCACGATCCGTTAAGATGCCACAAATGCTCATGGTCAAAATAACAGCTGACAGCATGACAGGAAGTTAAACTTGCATGATGTTTACCACAGTCTCTGCACGTGTGGAACTGTCTGTAGGTAATGGACAGTGTTATGCACATCTGCACGCTCGCTATTTAAAGCGCTTCCTCCACCTCTGGGAGGCGAAGCAGGAAACTTTGTGCTCGTGTCATGACATGCAGCTCGGACACACGTACGGCACCGTGTGAGTGAAGAAGCTGCATGTGCACGCTCACACACAACACGCGCAAAGAATCAGCACAGACAGTTGGCTCACGCAGACGTATGACGCCTGGAGCGGCTGGTTAAAGTCCCTGCTGCCTTGCTCCTGTTGGGTACGGACAATCTGGCTGAGCATGTTGGATTGGCCAGCCGAAGCGAGGATGAGCAGGACACGTAAGTCTCCATCCTCCCCACACACTCACACACATCTTCTCCCCGATGCTCATGCGAGCTCAGCTGCTGCTCGGGCAGCTACAGTCTCCGCCTGCTGGCTGGCGCGCTGCTCGCGTGCTCTCCGGGCTGCCGATGTTGTGCTGCTGGGAGCCGAAAAAGGTGGATGTCTTCAGATGGGCTCGGCCGAATGGAGTTGTGTTTGGCTTTGCCTTTCTACACTGCAGCCAGAAACACAGAGACTTGGTGTCCCAGAGGCTTTCTGCAGACTTTAAGTAGTCCAGCATTGAGTGTTGATGAAGCTCTTTTAATGCTGCAGGGGGAGCCGAACAGGGCAGACTAGTACACCCTGATGCCGCAAAGTAAAAGGGAAACCAAAAAATCCCCACGAGGAGAAAAGTTGTACACTTTGCCTAAATGCAGTAGATCCACGTAACTCCAGCACACTGCGGTGCAGATCACGACCCACCGAAGCACGGCGCTCAGGTCAAAGGCTCCAAGTCTTTGTCCCTGTCCCTCGCCACCATGGTGGATCTGATGTGAGCCTCAGTCAGCCCATGTGCTCGACACCCTGGTCACTTTCATCTCAGCTTCTACTCGCACCTCAAACCAGCGGGCCTTTAAAGTCAAGCTCTTTCAATCGTTTCCTCAAACTATTTATCCATTTGTCTCATTTGCATCCTGTAACTGCCTCTCAACATTGCAGTTTCCTTTGATACTGATTACATTGCCATAAGGATTATAAGGAAAATAAGTACTGAGCACTATTGAGGGGAGGGGGGGGGGAGGGGGGGGGGGGGGGGGTCAGCAGGGCATCGGGCGAGAGACGGGTTGTCTGATTTTCTTTTGTTATATGGATGTTGTGTGTTTGTGGGAGAGGCAGCACAATGACAGCACCACACATCCAGTTTCTCCCAACACGCCCCTAAGACCTAAAACCCTGCTGTCTTCATTTGACCGTGCCCCCCCCGCTCAGTGTCTTCTGCCCCCCCACAGACGCAGACGAGTCCTCGACGTTTGTGACCGGCATCGTCTTGTTCAGGAACCTGGGCAGCATTCTGACTCTTCAGAGGTGAGGCTGCTCACTGCTTCACACACACAGCTCCACAGTGCTGTACGTGGAGCGGGGGGGGGGGGGGGGGGGGCACATATGGAAGTCAGGGAAGGAAAATGAAAAATGTAAATGTGTTTAACATTTACATTCAGGCCTGGTACGCATTGATCTCTGTTCATTCAATGAATATTCATTAAGTCACGTTAGACAAAAGTCCAAACAACACAACAACGTCTAACGTCCAATATATCTAAATAAGACATACTATAATAATAGTGCATTGTCTTTACTCATTTTTACTCACACAAAGCCACCATATATTCTAACATATGACTGTATCTGTCCTTATGGTTTCCTCTCTGAACATCTTTGTCTGAGAATGAACTGCTGTCAGAATATGATTCTCATCCTATTGAGCTGTAACGTTTGCTTTTCTGGCCTCATTTTTGTTTTTGACTATGACACTAACAGTCTGAAGGTTGTGGTCCTGGCCACGTGAAGTAACTGTTGCAGGGTCCGGATACGACAGTGACTGGAGCCATGTGGCCACCAGTGGTACAGTAAATGTTCCAAAGGAACTTCGAAGTAATGAAGTAGAGAGTGAAGGGTTGTGTCCCTCTCTGTCCACCAGTCCCAGGTAGACCCCTCTCAGGGACCCCTGCAGCCCTCTCACTGGCTTCTGGTTGGTTTATTAGCAAAATATCCCGGTTTTCCCGCTTCCTTCTACCGTCATTAGCATGTTTGCATTTGGCTGCATTGAGCCAGAACGGCTCCTTTCTATTGAAGGAAAAACGCACAGTTTCCAATTATTTGATAATAAAAAGCTTTGATTTTAAAACAGTAAAAAACAGAAACGTTGTTTTTTTATCAGTCATTTGCCAGTTATTGCAAAGCCACATCCGAACAAGGCCTTTGTTTTACATGAAGTTCTCCAGTAAAGAGAAGTACTAAAAGGGGATTTTCAAACCAGGTTGGAATTTTCTAAAATCGCTCCAACTTTTCCTTTTTTGGTGATATTTCTATCAAAACATTGTTAATATATGAATACGCAACATTGTATTGTGTGCATTGCATTGGTATAGAACATGTGGCGGATACTGTGGAGCCCGTCCCTGGTTCTACTGAGCCCAGTGTCACGGATGATCACAGCAGTGACATGAAATCAAGGACGGATGCAGATACAGAAGCACAGAGCAGTGCGTCACCTCATCTTTTATCTCGATAGCGAGTCAGCCATTAGCATACATTTGTGTGTGTGCAAAGCTGAACGGATGCTTCTGCAATAACGTCCTAAAGAATCTAATGAACTGGTAACACAAAGAGGGACCTCACCAGTCCTCCCAGTGGCTCTTGGATGGCTGCTGCTGTTCTTTCCATCCTTTTTCTGCATTTGAATCCCCCCTCTTCGAGAAAAAAAGGAGATGCGTTTGAGGCAACAGACTAGACGACACAAACATTTCAGTTGACTGATTGTGTTGTGTAATGGTGAGGATACGCCGAGGAGCCGGAGAACGAGGCATGGCCTGCTCAACGTGTTTGGCCGACTGGAAGCTTTGAGTGTCGGGACTTCCAGGAGCGATTCACTGTTTTACCCGATTGTCTCCTCTCGCATGATTGATAGCACCTGAACAGCAGAAATTGCAATGAATACTAAGCGAGCAGGGAGAACGTAAACATCAACGCCACCAAGATGTTGAAAGACAAAGTGAAGTGCTTCAGATGCTGGAGGAACCCATAAAGTCAGCAGGTGTCTGCTGAAGCGGATGAGCCACTAATCCGTGGGGCTGGACCCCCGGCTGACGTCAGGGTGGGTTCACTGAACCCTTCACGCTGCGATGACGATCAAGCTGTGGTCATCTCGTAGGAGGCCTCTACTGAACCAACTGCTGCCAGAACCCAAGACCAATGGATGAGTGATCATAACGTGTGCGTTGGACTTCACTCCCACATGGTGGGATGTCGTTGAATGGAAAAGGCTGAAACATCATCATCATCATCACAGCGCATAGCTTCGGTTTGCTTCGTACCATCAGGCACAAAACCCTCCGAGCAACTTGGATAAAATGTTTTATTTCCAAGCGTTTCAGAGGCCCTCAAGCTGCTGCAGGGAGGTGGTCCAGCGTTTTGTGAAAGGTGGGGGGGCCGTTACTAAACTGGACGCATTTCAAATCTC